AAAAAAAAAAAAAAAAAAAAAAAAAAAGGGTATTTAATAAATGTATTACATTATATTTTGCATATTTTAGGTAGTAACACAGAACGAAAATGACAATTAAATTCTCAAAAGTGCTGTAATTAATTTAAAGAAAGAAATTTATAATGAATGTAATTATTTAACAATTATTGTAATAATTCATATACTTTATTATATTTTTGTATTTTTTAGATGGCTCACTATACAGATTACGTGATGTATTGATAGAAAGATAATTCTACAAGGCACAATTGAAGAATACTGAATTTGGTGAACGTCACAATCATATTGCCGGTGATAATATACTATATAAAATCTCAATAAAATTTCCTCCTAATTTGATATATAATTGGTATTACAAAAATAAACGTATTACAAAAGAAAAGTTATTATTTTATTTAAATATTCCCATGCCCTATTTTTTTTTAACAATTATTTAATATATTCTACAATTATAAAAAATTGTAATCTCTATATCCAATAATTTATTGTATTTCATTATTATTATTGCTTTAAGTATATTTTAATTTCATTTTCAATTTTTTGTAGATTCTGTGCCGCTCTCGGTTTATTTGTACTTTTAATTGCCTAAAATAATCCGCCAATCTTATTATTTGGACTGAAATATAAAAGGAATATCTGTTAAATGTCATAAATTCTTTTTGACATCTATTTTATTTGCATATCCTAATAATATTTTTAAGTTATGTTAAATAAAAAATAATTTGGTTTCGTCATTTTTTTGTTCTTAAAACAGAGTTTCAATAAAAAAATTTCATAAAAATGATGCAAATACAAATATTTTATTAGCTAATGCTAAAATTTTAAATAGACAATAGACTTGAAGTCAAATTCCTTTCCTATTAGTTAAACATACAGTATTATCAAGCAATTTTAATTACCCTCATTCAAAAAATTTGCACTCCCAGTGTTTTTATTAATGTTCCATTTATTTCAAAGTAAAAAGTTCAAAAATAGTAATTTACATAATTCCAGCCTTTTACTCAAAAGCATTAGTTTTAGTTGCCAACAAGATTTAAATTTCTCATAACAATACTCGATTTTTAACTTAATGACAATAATTGTTTAATTGATTTTTAATTACACAATTGTAATTCTTAATAGTTAGTAAACTGTAAATATTATTTTAATGTGAAATAAAAATATATATTTAAATATTTTAGCTATGTGAAACCTATTAAAATACCCTTAAACCCATTATTGTAACATCTCAGCTTTTGGATATAAGCGACAAAATTGTCGTAACACAAATTAAACACCAAGAGAGGAGGTTGTAGTAGGTAAAGTGTTTATGACAATGATGTTGAGTCTGTCGCCTGGGTATTCACGTCCGTGTGATCATACGACAGTTACTGTGATCAGCTGACACTCCGGATTAGCTGTGAGTGTCAAAAGGCCGCTGTTGTAGGAAGGGAATAAAAGTAACACCTAAGTATAAGGTGCAGATGAAGTGCAAAACACAAGTACTATGAAATGTCGAGGATAAGAGTAGGTAGGTTAAAAAAGAAAAAAGACTTGAATTAATGCAGTAAGTCGGACAGCAACAACCGAGTACTGAGACTGATAAATGACACGAAGCACTGGAGTCGACTGACCAGGATGGGCAGTATTTTTGGGTTTTTATAATAATTCTGACGATTGCAAATTTAGTAATAAAACTAATATTTCAGGGAAATAAAAGTGTGTACCATCATATATTATTAACTGTGAATAGATCTACTAAACAGAAATAGTTAGGTCACGTCCGGCTTGATGGAGCGATTGGAATAAATATTTGGTTGACGTTTATGGTTTGGTTGACTAATGATGATAATCGAAGGTTTTTTAATGAAATCCAAAAGAGCTTGGATAACTAAAAATATTTCCTTTAGTCTAAATTGTTCAAGAGTGAAAAAGGTAATGCAGAATCTGATTATTGTCTTGTTAAACAGATTGGTATGTTGGAGATGAAATTATCTTCTAACGAAAAGTCTCTTGGTATTTTGGATACAAGCAATACTTTTTTAGAAGACTTTTAAAGACAATGTAGTAGTGCTACATTAGCCATCAGGGTGACGACTTCAAAATCCGCTGCGTGGTACAAGTCTTCACCACTCAATATACAGAATAACATTAAGAGATACTTAACAACATCTATATCATTTTAAAAAGATAATGTGAGTCATATATTAGCAAAATTACGTATATCTAAGAAATTCTTTTTTTAAAATTTGTTTTTTTTTTTACTATATTAAAGAAACATATAGCTATAGTTAATCGTTAATTGGTCAAGAAAAAGTAAAAATTTTAATCTTTAATCATATAAAATTTGATTTGTGTTTTAATAAAGTTTTACATTTTGCACAGTAAATTTGAACACTTGATGACATCATAAAAAAAATTGTTTTAAAGTCTAAATGTAAATGTGTCAATACATTAAAATCTAATTTTTTTTTTCAAAAATAACATTATTTTAGTTAAATAATTAATATTTGCACTATTTCAGTATAAATTGTTAAACATTATATGTAAAATGACACAGCTAGAATTTAAATATTTGAATAATTATTTTTCTAAATTGTTATTTTCTGAAGTAAAAAAATCATTGTAATGCATTTGAAAACTATACTAATCTTTTGTTCATTTTGTTTTTTTACCGGAATAATAGTAAGTCTATTCCAACTTTTATTTATTTATTTATTAAATATGATAATTTTATATTTAAAGAGCGAGGGACTTAACGTATTTCAAATAAACCTCTTTGAATACTTGATAACGGATTATAATATTGGTAGATCCATTGAGAAAATACAACATGCATTATTTTGTCATGATATCGAAGAGACTTACAATGATTATAACCTTGATGGTAATTTATAATTAATATAATTTTTAGCTTTAGATTTACTGACACGAATTTTTCAATATATTCGCCAATTAATGTACTTTGTTTAATTTTAAATTTATTTAGAATATAAAAAAAAACTCAACCCATCAGAGTGGGGTCGGGCGCAGTGGGGACGTGGCATTGTTAGGTCTAGTATAGATTTAATCTGGCATTGATTAAAATCACTATCTATAAAAACCCTTCGATATAAATCTATAAATAGTGTTGAATTAAAGAAATCGGTAGATAACTACAAAAGCAACATGATCTCCTATTTATTTATTTATATCCTTATTACATGTTTTATAATTTATAAGTGTAATATATGTATAAGTATTTATCATAGCAATTAAATGAAGTATAGTATAAAACTGATATTCAATAATTTAGTAGTAAAATTTTTACGAGAAATTATAAAAAATTATAAAGTAGTTAAAACTTTTATGGCAAACGCATATAAAAGTTAAATTTCTTGTTGCAATATTTAAAAAAAAAAAGTTGTATGGTATTTATAAATAAATTTACTGGTCTACAAGCAATTTTCATCCGAGACCAAAATATACTTTTCTAAACCCATTTTTACGCCAATTTCAAATCTGCAATTAAAGTTTCGCATATGGCCTAAATAATAACAAATATTTATGTTTGATTATTATTTTAAGTCTAGATTAATCAATACATATAATTTAATTACGAATAAGTTGAAAAAGTTCTACTTTCTATACGCATTTTAAGGTTTGAACCCTCCTGTAAAAAGAAAAATTATCCGATTTAAAAAAAATATATGTTAAATGAAAGAAGTATATAAATAGAATTTCTCATTACAAAATTGTACTGAAACAATATATTTTTTAAAAAGTTATAGAAATATAAAGTTAAAAATGTAACAAATGAAAGTGGGAATTTGATTACAAAAATAGCATACGGTAGTCATTTTCACCGTTAAGACAACATAAAGTCCTAATTTTTTTTTTCCATTTTACATTAGGCTTAATTAAAGTGTATACATAAAAGTGTAAGTATTTCTGGAACACTTTCAAAAGTTAAGTCGAAAAAGTTAATTTTTTTTAAAAAGTTGTAATTTTGTATCCCTCTTGTAAAAGAAAAGGGTCAAATTTATAAAAAAAATTTTTCAAAATAATATTTTAATTGATATAGATTTATGAATCTAAAAAAAAAATTTATATTTATTTGGTCTTTTTTAAAAAAGTTATGGCAATTTGAAATAAAAACAAAAAACCAGCACAGTAAAAATTAAAATCTAGTATTTTCACACAAAAGTCCGAATTTTATTTTTTCCATAATAAAGTATATTACATTAACTTTAATTTAAGATATACATAAAAGTGTCAGTATTTCCGGAACCCTTTCAAAAGTTAATTTGAAAAAGTTAATTTTTATTGGAAAAGTTTCCATTATGAAACCCCCCTGTGGGCATGTAAAACATGGTCCGATTAAAAAAAAAAGTATGTCGAATGTAAGGTGTTTATAAATACTACTTCTCATGAAAAAATTGTATTGATCTATACATTTTTCAAAAAGTTTTAGCATAATTAAGTTCAAAATGTAAAATACAAAATCGAGAATTTTCACACAAAAATAGCATTCGGTAGCCATTTTCACCGTGAAGACAAAATAAAGCCCGAAATTTTTTTTTTCCATGATAAAGTATATTAAGTTAGTTTTAATATAAGATATATATAAAATTTTCAGACTTTCCAGAACTTTTTCAAAAGTCAAGTCTTCAACTAGATTTGATTTGTGATTTTTTGACGTATCCTTATAATCAAACGTTTTCTACACTATAAATCAAAATTTTTTCTTCATGCAAACTTAACTTTTGTTTCGTATGAGTCAGCTAGACCGTGGAATGTTTAGTTTTGCACCGTACTAGAATGCCGTTCACCTTAAGTCTGTTTAATTCAATATTTTTGAAGCTGAAGAGGGCTCTCCTGGGAGGATGACGGCTAATCGCACATCTAATAAGTAACGAGAGTAGACAATAATTAATGGCACGTAATGGTGGAAAGAACAGACGGCAGAAAAGCGACTATAGCAGTGTAGTTATTCAAACATAAAATGTTGTTTTCATGTGTCACTAAGGTTTTTCTAATTTGGTAAATTTGAATCGTAACTATTCGAAGCCATTACTCTCAAAAGTTGAAAAAATTTTACTCGTTCCCCGTAAAGGGAGAAAATCTCCAAAAAAATTACTAATTACTAAAATTACTAATAATTTTATTTACATTTTTTAATTCGAAATGTATCAATTTTTAGCTTCGATGCGAAGCTGAGAAGGTATTAATTTTACAATGATGTATTTTTTTTTGTCTGTTACCACTATAAATCAGCTCTCACTGGACCGATTTTGATGAACAATACGTAAAAAACTTACAAATAGTATTTAGTCGAAGACATTACCATAAAAAATTGAAAAAAATTCTCTCGTTCCCGTAAATGGGGAAATTACCCAAAAAATTGAAATTTTAAAAATCGATTACTTTCAAGATTTTTTCAATTTTTTTTTTTAAACAGCAATAATTTTTTTAAAAATGAAAAAACCAAGCATTTGGGTATTCACCTAACATTTGATAAATTTTTGTGAACATTTGATCTTTTACGTGCCCACAGGAGAATTTCAAAATGGACACTTTTCCAATAAAAATTAACTTTTTCAAATAAACTTTTGAAAGTGTTCCGGAAATACGTCAAAAGATCACAAATCGTATCTAGTTGAAGATATTACCCTCAAAAGTTGAAAAAATTTCCCTCGTTCCCTGTAAATGAGGGAAACCTCCAAAAAAATTACAAATTTAAAATCACTAATTTTCAAATTTTTTAAAAATTTTTTTACATAAAAGTGCCATAACATTTTCAAAAATGAACTTATCAATATAATTTATATAGATGTATAATAACCTTTCATTTGGTATATTTTTTTTATAAATCTGACACTTTACTTGCCCACAGGAGCGGATTTAAAATGACAACTTTTCCAAAAAATTAACTTTTTCGACTTGACTTTAAAAAATGTTCCGGAAAGAGTGACACTTTTATATATATTTTAAATTAAAGCTTATGAAATATACTTTAATTGGAAAAAATATAATTTGACCCTGGATTTGTCTTTATGGTTAATAGGACTGTTGTATTAAAAAAATGTGATATTTTTATGAAAAAAATTCTTGATTTTATAATTTTTATTTTAGCTTCGATGCGAAGGTGAAAAGGTTTTACTATGATGAGTTTTTTTTTTTTTTGTGACTGTTACCACTTTTTTTCATCTCTCACCGAACGAATTTTTTTCAACAATTCGTCAAAAGATAACAAATTGTATCTAGACGAAGACATTACCTCCAAAAAATTAAAAATCGCTAATTTTCGAAAAGTTTTAAATTTTTTTTACTAAAAACTGCCATAACTTTTTTAAAAATGAACATACAATATAGTTTTTTTTACATAGATGCATGATATCATCACTTATCATTTGGTGTATTGTTGTTATAAATCTGACCATTTGCCTGCCCCAAGGGGGAGATTTTAACTTTTTTAACTTAACTTTTGAAAATGTTCCGGAAAGTACGATACTTTTATATATATCTTAAATTAAAGCTTATGTAATATTATTTAATTTAAAAAAAAAATTTTACCTCTGGACTTTTTTCATGGCTGAATGCTATTTTTGTGTGAAAATTCTCGATTTTGTATTTTACATTTTTCACTTTAAAATGCTATAACTTTTTAAAAATATATGCATCAATACAATTTTTACATGAGAAGTAGTATTTATATATATCTTTCATTTGACATACTGGTTTTTTAAATCCGACCATTTCCCTATATACGAGGGGGGTTCAAATATAAAAAATGCATGTAGAAAGTAGAACTTTTTCAGCTTAATTTTTGGATGTGTTCCGGAAAAACTGACACTTTTATGTATATATTAAGTTAAAGTTAATGTAATATACTTTATTATGGAAAAAAAAAAATTCGGACTTTATTTTGTCTTCGTGGTGAAAATGACTACCGAATGCTATTTTCATGTGAAAATTCTCGATTCGATTTTTTACATTTTTAACTTTATAATGCTATAACTTATTGAAAAGTGTATGGATCAACACAATTTTTTTATGAGAAATACTATTTATATACTTCTCTCTTTCGACCTATTTTTTATTTAAATTGGACGATTTCCCTTTATACAAAAGGTAAAACTATCCTTTAAAAATGCGTATGGAAAGTAGAACTTTATCAACTTAACTTTTGATAACAGCGCAAAAAGTTGAAAAAGAAAATTATATTTTTTCTTCTGAACTTAGTTCCATGTAGTCCAGTGTATTTATTTATAAGTAACATACAGTTTTTATTGAAAAGTATTGCGTCAAGCCATTTAAATTTTTATACGCGTTAAAAGTAAAGAAGTATACAACAACTTTATTATTTTTATAATTTCTCCGTAATAATTACAATATTAAATTATTGAATATCATTTTTATACTAAATTTAATTACTATAATTATTATTTATTCATATATTATATTTATAAATTAATGAACCACTAATCAGGATATAATAAAAGAAATAAGTTATTGTTGCTTATGAAATAATCTACCAATTTCTTAGAATTAAACACTATCTATAGATTTTCATCGAATCGTTTCTTATGATAGTAATGTTAATCACTGTTAGATATCATCTATACTTGCCCCGTCCACACTGTGCTACCGTTTTTTATTTTTATTGTTATTCAAAAAATATTAAATTGATGATGTTTAATTTTCAATTTTTTTGTTTTAACCTGTTGTGGTTCTATAATACATTATCTCGTCCAGTTGTAATAAACAAAAAGAAAAAGTAAAAAGGGGAATAAGGTTGTAATTAACAAAAAGAGAAACGTGAGTGTAGGTATGTAGTCTTGTAATAAATAAAATGGCTATAATAAGGTGGCGAAGGAATGTTATTAAAGGTATTTGGGGCTCGGAGTGTGAAAGGGAAGAAATGTAAAGAAATGTAACACAGGTGGCCAATAAGGAAATAATAATCGTAGCAGGCGTAGTGTAAAAAGGATGGGTACCAATGGAAAGTAAAAGTGTCTATAGATACCCGGTAGTGACTACAATAAAATGAAATAGAAAGGGATCTCGGGGTATGTATGCTTGTGTAAAAACGTCTAATGTATGAATAAGATGGAATTACAAAGAAGGGTCACTACCTAGCTCCTGCACAGAAACGCGCACACAAATTCCCGGCGATTCACAAATATCGTGCCTTTTATAAAAATATTTCAGTTTATTCTTAATGACTTATCCTATTCTAATTGTTTATTACTAAAAAATTCTTCAGTAAAGGATCTATTATAGACTTATTATGTAAACAAATGTTCCACTTACCTCTGATTATCCTGATATTCTCTTGAGATGAACGATGTTGTTGATGTAACAATTATCGATGTATACGTTCACGCATTAATGTACGCAATTATATTTATACGGTTTATATTATTATTAACTCGCGTGTAACTACTTTTCTAGTACAATTCTATATTAAATCTACCCAAGGTGAAATCTAAGTTTGTTATAACTCTGTCTTTTTGCAAAAACCTTTTGTATATTTATGTAGTATAGTTCTTAACCTTGTATATGATGTTTTACGTTAATATATTTATTATTTAATAATTTATAAAGCAAATGAATAACTTCTAAGCAACATAACTGTCCTGTGCAACAAAACTATTTCCAAGTGGCCTACGTCTTTTCAGTCGTCCAAATGGTGATCTAGGGTAGATGCGAGCTCAATTTCAGTTCTTTGCACAATAGATTATACTAGTGTCCTACACTCCGATCACCGGCACTGTGGCATAGATCAGACTAGCTGGTCGATAAGTGGAGAGACACTTTTAGTTGTTTAGTATGATGTTAGTTATAAATATATATTAGTAAAATATTAGTTTTTAGTATAATATTTCGACTCTGATTTATTTGTATTTCGTAGCTGGATATACCAACGCGAGATCTCAAATAATATCTTTGTCTTTATGCAAAGAACCTTATGATATGTGGCCTACTTCTTTTCAATCACCTGTAGGACGACCTAGGTTAGATGCGACTGTACTATAGATTTATGCACGATAAGTTATGTTAGTGTCCTACACTCCGATTGCCCGCACTGTGGCAGAGATCAGACTAGCTAGTCGATAAGTGGAGAGACACTATGAAGAAATCTTATGATTAACTAAAATTCTAATTATGATATTATTGTACTATTACCCTGTCCAGCCAGGTTGTGGCCCTTCAATAAGTAGTAAATACAATTCAATCAAATTAATTACCTTAGAATATCTAATGTATACTACAAAATAATATTAATAATTTATGCGTTGTAAATTATATTAGTGTCCTACACTCCGATTGCCGGCACTGTGGCATAGATCAGACTAGCTAGTCGATAAGTGGAGAGACACTATGAAGAAATCTTATGGTTAACTAAAATTCTAATTATGATATTATTGTACTATTACCCTGTCCAGCCAGGTTGTGGCCCTTCAATAAGTAATAAATACAATTCAATCAAATTAATTACCTTAGAATATGCTTATATGTATATGAATATAAATGTAAATAAAAAGAAATAAATAAACACCAATATTTTATATGTGTTAGAATATTTATATCACCAAAAGTATTCGACCGAAAATAAGATGTATAATATTTTTCAGTAATTACGAAAGAGGGTAAAAATTAGGTAGATTTCATATAGAATTGTAACTAAGAATGAAACATAAACTCACGCACATTCACTTTTTGTATCTTGGTTGAGTATTCCAGAGAGCTGTAGAGATGTATAGATAGAATGGCAAGGTGTCCCAGTATCTGCTAGAGGGATGTTCAGAAATCGTACCACCGCGAAACAAACCACACTAAAGGAAGCGAAGCCGCAGAGGAACCGCCCGAATTTGGGGGAAAATGGCCTTTTTATATCCTGCAAAACTGGTTTAGCGATCTCTGGTGAGATTCTTGAAATATTTTTGCTGTATTTGATTGGTTAATGTGATAGAATCTTTTACGTGAGCATTTTATGGAATGCGTAAGAGGGAGGTTAAATCTTGTGTAAGGGTATTATTTTATTACTCATCTTATCCACGGGGAAACACTGATTTGGTGATATATTTTATTAAATATAAGTATTAATTATTACATGTATTAAAATGTGATACTACACAGTAGTTTAGTGACCCTAGTTTTTCTTGTTTTATAGCACCATAAAAGTTACAAAATTTATATTTTATGGCCCAATTATTCGAATTTTGAAGTGAATCTTTTTTATAGATAGTCCGAAAAATACGATAATCGAGCGTCATGATCGGCCACGGTTGGCTGTAAAGTATATTTTACATTATAATTTAATTTATGAAGTTTCCGTTTATCTGTGCATACTCGTAATACGAAAATGTTTTTTTTTTACAATATGTGTAACGTTTCAACATAAATAAGAAGTAAATGGTGTAAATTTACTTATGTTTTTAATTATGCTCCTGTAATATTTGGTGCTCTCTCAGAACATTTAACCTAGAACTACCATTAGTATTTATACTACTACACTGAGTTTTTGCATCCTAATTTTTATTAAATATTACAGCATTATGCAATTCCGAACAACAAAAGTTTACAAATGTTATCCTGTGTAACTGAATTTTTCTTATATTCTAAAATAATACTAAAAATTTAATTTTCTTTGAAATAGAAAGAGTTGAAAAATTATTTTATTAACGTATTTCCATTAAATTTTGTAAACCTAATTTCTTTAAACACCCTACAACTGATTTTAAAAATTACGTTTTAATAAATTTGAATGTAATAAGATATGATAAAAACTTTTTCTTGAAACACATTTTTATATTTTCATTATGTTTTGAGAAAAATTATTAAAAAAACATGAAATTTTAAATACACTCTATTTAAGATATTCATATTTTATAGATCGAGTAAGTATAAGAATTTTCAAGATTTTGAATTTTTTGGCTAGAATTAAAAAGAGAGGCGATGACAAAAGAGTAAAATCACATAATAATTAGTTTATTAGCCTTTATATATGACTTATTTATTAAATTAGTTTTTATTCTTTAGATAGAAAAACTTGATATAAATGAGTTTCAAATAATCTCAAATAAATTCAGTAATCTTGATACAGACAACGATTGCGTATTAAATAAGGAACAATGCATTACATTGGTTGAATCTATTGGTTACTGTCATTCTAGTAGTGGATTCGTAATTATAAATTTATTTAAAAATATTCATAATTATGTACATACAAGATACATTGCATATGATTTTTTCTCTCTACACAAAAATAGTACAGCCAATATTGATTTTGAAAAAATAATAATAAATAAGATCATAAAAATATATGCACACGAATTATGACCAAAAATATTCAGTGTTCCTCACAATAATTTTACATATATTTTTATTCTCAATTTTTAATAAATCTCACAACAAGAAAATTATAGTTACGTTAACTTTTCTGAATTAGAACTTATCCAACTTTACTTAACACAAAATACAATTTAAGAGATCATAAAATAAATTTTATACAGTGCAATTTATTAAATATACTACGCTTTTTTTTTTGTTAAATGATTTTTTCATAAAAAAGTATAGAATAAAATTAAATTTTTTAGCTTTGATGCAAAGCTGAGATGGTATTAATTTTACTACGACGTTTTTTTTTATTATTATTATTTTTTTTTGTCTGTTACCACTTTTTCTCAGGTCTCACAGGATTGATTTCTTTCAACGATACGTCAAAGATCACAAATCGTATCTAGCTGATGATATTACCCTCAAAATTGAATAAATTTCTCTTGATCCCCGTAAATGGCGGAAATCTCCAAAAAATCACAATTTTCAAAATTGCTAATTTTCGAAATTTTTTTACTTAAAACTGCCATAAATTTTTTAAAAATGACCAAATCAATATAATTTTTTTTATAGATTAATGAGGTATTTACTTATTATTTGGAATATTTTTTTTATAAATTTGTCTTTTTACCTTTACAAGGGGGGATTCAGAAACATTTTCTGAACTTTTTTTGAAAGTGTAAATAAGTGAAATACTGACTCTTTTATATATACCTTAAATTAAAGCTAATGTAATATGTTTTATTATGAAAAAATAAAATTTTGGACTTTACTTTGTCTTCATGGTGAGAATGGATATCGTACGCTTTTTTGTGTTTAAATTCTCGATTTTATATTTTACATTTTTAAATTTACATTTATATGCTTTTTGAAAGCCGTATGGATCAATACAATTTTTTTATGAGAAATAATTTTTAAATACTTCTTTCATTCGTCATATTTTTTTTTAATCGGACCATTTCCCTTAATACAGGGATGGTTCAAAACTTAAATATGCATATAGAAAGTAAAACTTTTTCAACTAAATTTTTGGAAGTTTTCCAGAAATACTGACACTTTTATATACATATATATTTATATAAATTTAAAGGTTATGTTATATACTTTGATATGATATTACAAGTAGGCAATTCCAATCGCGTCGAGATATTGGATATGACCCCATTAGATCAATACTAACAAACTCCCAATTCCGGCGGGGCTTTCTTGGTCGCATCGGGTCGTCTTGCTTTTGGTTCAGCGGTTAAACACAAGCATACGTATGAAATCTTGCGATATATTGATGTATCTACTCTTTCATATTGTCCCAGAAGATACGATTACCAATGCTATGGTAAGTTTCTTTTCACCCTGGATGTCCTGCAGAAACACGGTGATGATACCTCCAGTAGGTGATCTGACATATCCGAAGGAACAACGATAAATTTCCCATCTGTTCCGTTATTTACCGGGTATTTTAACAAAATACCATCTTGCAAGTTGTATTCTTGGTGTTAGCGCCTGTAAATTGGTTTATCACTCCGGAGCTTCCGGACATACTTGGCCAAAGTTTCATCTTTGGCTTGCCAGGTTCTTATATCGGAAATAGCTATATTCTTCGGATAGGTATTCTTTTTTTATGGCCCCTAGTTTATTTCGTACGGGTAAATCTCCAGTCAACGGTGGATCATGGTAGTTTTCTTCTATTATTTTATTCACTTATTATATGTTTTTACTATCAAAATGAGAATAGTCTTTATTTTAATAGGATGAAAACTGTATGAGTTGTTAAAATTTTTTTTTATAGAAAAATGGAGTGTTCAGGTAGGGTAGAAGGATTCTTATCTTTTTATTATTGTATAAATAGATCATTGCTAAACACTACCTCACTCCTCATTTTCCCTAAATTATCAAATTCTAATATCTTGAAAAATAATTAAATATTAGTTAACGACAAGTCAAAATTTTATTTTAACAATTATACATTTTATAGTAAAAATTTATAAATAAGTTCCATTTAAATTTCGAAAATTACCTATAACATCTACCTTATGTATAATTTTTCCTTATAATAAACTTGATATTCAATGGCTCAAGATAAAAATATTTAATTTTCATTTTTAAATTTTTTGTGAAAAAATTATTATTTAACGAAAATATTAAATAATTGCATGTTAAATTATTCACACTTATCTGAATTATCAATTATCAAATGAATTAAAATTATCTATAGTGATAATAGTATCACTATAGATACTATTATTCTAATACATAAGTATTCTTACTAAAGAATTTAGAATCTTTTTATGAATAATTTATAAGCAGTTCTAAATTATTAACATAATTTTTAATATATTAAATTATAAATAATAAAAAATGAGAGATATTTTTTGTGGATTGGAAACTCTGCGAATTTAAAATTAATTATGTAAACCTATTTGTTAGATACACATTAATGTGAGGTGACGCGATACATTTAATTTAATATGAAAACACGGTAAGTGAGGGAGAGCAGGTCAGTCGATCACATCATACACGTTTGTGTTTGTCACAACGGGTATGCCGCTGACACAACGCAATTTGTTTTTATCTTTTTTTTTGTAGCCGTCTAGTATTTCGGAGATTCCGCGTTTTTTATATAATATACGCCGCGACCTTCAATGTTTTTTCCCACTAAAAAACCACCACCTTCGTAACGGTACGGCGGCGCTGCTGTTTAGACCGGTCCCTGCAACGTATGGCATTGAAAACTAATTCATTCGCGCTCTCTCATTTGGTCGTTTAGGTCATATCGATGCCAAGTATTTGGGTCGTGTATTACCTTGTCACCATAGTCGTTGAATTGAGCTGCTTATCGTTTTTGCTGAACGTGACGGTGTTATTTGCCCTTCCTGTATCCGGACTTCACATTATTCATCAGTTCCAGACGGCAGTGGGTAATTAATAATAATTTTTTTTATTGTTATTTTACGGATTTACAGTCCACTTAATATGTATTAGTTATAAGCAGGAGATGTATGTTATTATTTTCGTTATTAATTTTAGCTAATTCTATTTATCATTTGGGTCTTGTTTGTTTGTTATTTTTTATCATAACGGAAATATCAGATTGTAATTATATATATATGTTGTTTTTCTTTCTATCTATAGTATATTGTAAGGCTCAATTTCCACAATTTTATATTTTCCTTTCCTTCCGCTAAGGCATGCCCAAAAATACGTATGGTCAATCGTATTTATTAAACAAACAAAAGGTTACAAAATCGCAAATTGCCGATACTAAAGAAAATATAGCCGGCATTGCACACTATTCTATGTTGAAAACTGTTAGAGTCAATCATAAATCTATCTTTTCAATAAATTTCTAATCCCTGGAAAGTTTTTCTACGAATGTTAGCTCATTTTTGCTTACATACGTTTCAAGATGAGTGATCGTGATTTAAAAATTGGAATACACTGTGCTGTACGATTTTGACTTCAATTAAACAAATCTGCTCCTGAAATCGTTAAGATAATAGTGATATTTTAAAAAAAGAATCCTTAAGTAAGTTAACAATATACCGATGGTACAAACCATTCAAAGAGAAACACGTCGAGTCCTCGCCGCCGATAAAACTTTTAAAGAAAAAACAGTGATCACAGTCATTATTCTGATATTTTTAGTACATCAAATGGTTTTTTATCACATCACTCTTAAAAAAAACCATATCGCAGAAAATTGAATTTTACATCATTATAATGCCGTTCTTATATAGTGTATGCAAATTTCTCACGGAAATTAAGGTAGTGGTAATGGAACATCCTCTATATAGCCTCGAATTCATGATCAGTGACTTTTGAATGTTTTTGAAGCTGAAGTCAAAAATTTAGTTCAAACCCAAAAATAANAATAATAGTGACATTTTAAAAAAAGAATCCTTAAGTAAGTTAACAATATACCGATGGTACAAACCATTCAAAGTGAAACACGTCGAGTCCTCGCCGCCGATAAAACTTTTAAAGAAAAAACAGTGATCACAGTCATTATTCTGATATTTTTAGTACATCAAATGGTTTTTTATCACATCACTCTTAAAAAAAACCATATCGCAGAAAATTGAATTTTACATCATTATAATGCCGTTCTTATATAGTGTATGCAAATTTCTCACGGAAATTAAGGTAGTGGTAATGGAACATCCTCTATATAGCCTCGAATTCATGATCAGTGACTTTTGAATGTTTTTGAAGCTGAAGTCAAAAATTTAGTTCAAACCCAAAAATAATCGGAACCTTACAGACGTTTTTCATGTCACTTGAAATACACGCGTTTTCTACATTCTTCTAAAAGTGGATTTTGTGTTAGGACTGTTGCATGAAAATTATAGGGAGGGTGCAAAAACTTTGAAATGGAATAAATTTTATAATTTTTTTTTATTTTTGTAGTATTTATATAGTATACTTTTTAGATTGAAAGGAAGTAAAAGTTGACAAGTTTCTGAATTTTTTTATTGAAGTAGATAATTATTTGAATTGTATCTTGTAATTGTATCTTGACTACAAAAGAGTAATAAAATCACACATTAATTAGTTAATTGTTCCTTTTACATGTATCATTTAAATGATGTGATGCATATTTTACTATGACACGGTTAGGATTAATAGGTGTCGACAGATATTATTAGGTCACCGTATACTTATGATTCAAATACTAATACACTTCCACATAGGCTGATAACGTAATCATATAACTAAATATAATCGTAATCGTAAACGTAATAACGTAATGTCTAACTCAGATTATCACGGAACCCCGTCAAGTTAATCTTTGAAACATTTTCTCATGAAACGACACTATGCTCGAGACGTGCACATACTCGTATCGTACTCTTTTTATAAGTCGTCTTACTATTAATATGACAACCGGTGGTCTGAATACACATCCTCACAATAATCTAAGACATACATTTTACCCAAGTATTCGTCTCTTTTCCGGTGTATTGACGTACTGCTTATTTTACTTGCATCTTTGAAACGGTTCGTTTACTGAGTCTTAGTGGAATTCTGTCACAAACTCTCGACTCACAATTCTTTAGTTAAAAAAATTGTATAAATTGTCTATTACATCATGCCTCGTTAGTTGCGAGTTCTTTTAGTATTTAATGGTCGATGTTTGTTGTTAGCTAATAAAGTCATCAATATTTTCAAGTTCTGAATCCGTATTTAAGTTTTCAGAGGGGTAATAATTTTTGGCAGACGTATTTTATATCAT